TATATATGGGGAATTCTCCTGAAAACTTGAACTTGCGCATATCTTTTACTGCAGACACCATAAATATCTTTCTTTATTTCAAATCATAGTTGAGATGAGCTAAGCCGGTGGTGAAAATGTTGCCGAACCTGGACTAGGCAAAAAAATATCCAATGAAATGATATGCTGAAACAGTGTGGGGCTTTTTTGTTTAAAAAATGTGCATTTTTTAGGTATGAAAACGTAACATTCACCAGAGACAGTTTCATCTGAAGATTTCTCTAAGAACTGCCTGCATCTCATTTTCGTAATTATGGGTAAATACTGATCTAAGTAGAACTTTCAGGGCAACCGACAAATATATGCTTAATACGGCCCATTCGTTCATACAAAGGACATAAAATTAGGTATTAAACGCTACACGTCTCGTCTGAAAAATGATAAAAAATAGTAACGCTATCTTCAGTTCTATCGATCGTTTAAAAAGTGTTATTTTTCATAGTAGAACTAGAAATGCGATCACTTTAGTTATTTCATCAACCAAGAACAAAATTACTACACCGATTACGAAATTTTGGCGGTAAATAGTCGCGCCATTGAATTTTTGTCACATTGTAACGATTAAGATCTGTGTGTTTACTTCTGCCTGAAGTAGCTCAAAATTTTAGAGCCGTGTTTTTATGTCAAGTGCACTGGTTTCCAATCAACTCGGCTTTCATCTATTCCCCGGCAAGACAACAGTGTCTTTGGAAAGTGAATATGAATAACTTCGTCACGCAATTTTAGCCGTGTAACGATTAAAATGTAAGTAATGATTAAGACTTGAATTGCTTTAAAATTGGCTTTCTTTTTTATATGACTGCAAAACGTGTGATTCACTGATGAAATCTTAAAGTCCCTCAAGGAAATGGATGAGTTTGAATCCTGCCAAAACAAGGACTGTTGGTTTTCATAGAGTTTGTTGTATCGAAACGGAAATTGGACAAAGCTTGATTTCTTCATTTTAACGATTTAGACTTGGTCTTTGTGTTATAATCTTTATAGAATGAGTAGCTTCTTTAGGAATTTCATTTCAAGGATTTCATGCATTGATGCCACATATTTCTAGCTTTGGGGTTGGCAGTTGGGGAAATTAAAGGTGACAACTTGTTATCATTGACTGAAACATTGCAAATACAAGGATAAGGCTGCTTGGCTCTGTGTTTCAAATATTTAAGATCGAACATCAGTAATTTAACTTTGTAGACAGACTCTGTCAATGGAATGCAAAGTATATTGAATGTCCTATTCTCGGTAATGTCACACTGTAGGCTTGGTGGTGCAAGACGAGGCGTAAACACAGGGAACAAGGCGAAGAGGGCCATACAAATGATGTAACATTGTATGGGATTTCCCATGTCAATTTTAGTTTCAGTTGGAATTGAACAGAAAAATATTGGCGCCGTTTCTCCTGATCGACGTGGTAACTATAAAGAGAAAAGAAAGAAAGAAGTAGGCGAACCCGGTTACTTAAATGCGTCATTAGTTTGGTGAATTTCACCAGACGACCAAAGCAGATGTGCAGATTCAGTTTGAATGAGTCGTGATTCCTTTATCTATCTGCATGAAATGTTCATGGTTAAACTCACCTGAAGGACTACTAACTTAAGACATCCTATCTCGACAATTGAGAAAGAAAGAGTGAGAGAGAGATGGAAAGAGTGTTAAGAAGGTAATGTTATAATGGAGAACAGATGGATATGTAGTTCTTGGTCTACAAAATAATTGAAAAGAGGCAAATTCTATAATGTCTTGTTTTGAATAAAAGTAAATGCATTGTGTGCTTTTGCTTTTATTTTTCATTTTTGTTTTGACAAACAGGTTTCACGAACTCTCCTCGTTTTCCTTCTTGTTATCATCACTGAAATTTTGTAGATCTACTAGTGTCAAGCATGAATAATATGCTCGTGTGCACACATGTACATTTCAAGCAATAAAAACGATTGTACATTGACCCAAATTTCTCCTGGCATCTCCTTGCTTCGGGACGTTCTTGGTACGGCTGGTAACGTCCGTCTTTCTTTCTGGTTTTATTTTGATTGCCCCGAACGTGCTGCTTTGCTTTGTCCACAGTTTAGCTTTACCTTTAGTTTTCGCCAAAAGTTAATATTGGCTTTAACAAGAGGAAAATAAGTTTTTACATTGGTCTTAATGGTTACACAGACTAAATCATTTGGACAAAAGTTTAGGTAACAAGGGTTGCCCTAATATTTAGGGCATAGTAGCTGATTTTATCGTCTTGGACTATGATAAGACTAGCAAGACCACATAAGTAACGAATAACAGCGGTTTATATTCACTTTATTTATACATTCTAAAACAATTTGAGACTACTTTTTCAGTTGCTAATTATTTTAATAAAATAACACAAAAACGCAATGCACCATAATCTTATTTTCGACCAAGTATAGCACTGGTTAATCTCTTTTAATTCAGTTCCAAAACTGATTGGTATAATTTTTCATTTACCCCTCCCGCTCCCATATATTCTCTTTCCAACTTAACAGTACCATAGGTGCGTGCTCTGCGCTAGAGATCTCGGAATGCATTGCTTTCTTCAGGTACCGAAATTCCAAAAAGAAATACACAACGTTTATTACAAAAGAAAACGCAGCTGTGACGTCACAGCGAGATGGGGGCAAGCCTACATGTCTCGCTGCAAACGTTTCCCATGTGCGGCAGTGTTTCCCTTCCTGGCTTTCGGGCCACGCGAAAAACAGGAACGACGCCGACGTTAAGTTTTTTTCAAAATGCGATTGTTTTACACAGGGATAATTTCACAAAATAGTTTTTAATAAAAAAGTTCAGCCCGTCTGAGATGATGCACGAGCATTCCACGGATTAATCGACCACACATTTTCGAAAAAAATCTCCTCAAAGTAAACACCTTGTAACTTTCTTGTTTTACAGCTTGATTAAGACACGGAAATCTGCGGAAGCTAGTCCATCTTTCCTCTCATTGGTTGCCAAATTTGAGGACGTTTGGTTAACTTACATGGTTCCGCACCTTCCAAAAGTACTGTGAGTCGGAAAATCGTTGTGCCATTCGGCGGGTCTCGGTCTCGCAACCGACCAATCCTCTTTTTTCGATAAATATCTCAGCTGTCGAAAAATATCAGAAAAATGTTTTCTTAAGAACTCTAATGCCTCAATTTCTCCAGTGTGTATTGATATACACATGGGGCTGACCCAAAGAATATGCTATTTTTATATAAATAAGCATTTCTTAGGGTCACCCCTGGCTCGGGCGAGTCTACCACCTTTTCGCACTGCCGACGCGGGGTCGGCGATATGCATAAATTTTCTAAGTGACTATGACATCACTTCCGACTTCTTGTAACTCGTGACTCCGGCTTCCTGTCCTGCCTCACTCGTGACTCGCCTCAAGACGGGTAGAGACCGGGATCACTTGGGGCAAAATGGCGTTAAATTGTGCAGGAGCCGAGTTTTTATCTTATGATGAATTTGAGGCCGGCCTGAAAAGTTATAGCGCTTCTAATAAATGTTTATTTGTCATGAGGTCATCAGAAGCAATTTTAAAGATGGCTCGTTAGCGTGTGTCGGGGTCAGATGGGCGGCCTGCACACGTGTGGCTGTGTGTGCGTGTCGGGGAGGGGGGGGGGCACTATCGGTCCGGGCGTTGAACGTCGCATACGCATCAGTCTCCCCCCCCCCCCCCCGGCAGCTGATCATTATTAATTATTATTATTATTATTATAATTAGCTAGTCTTGACGTAGATCTACGTAATGGAATCAAAAGTTGCCGTATGCTCGGCTCTACACAGCAACACAACTTTTTCTTGGTAAACAATCGAGATGACACATAGGCTTGTGCATTTGAACGAATCGGTCTTTTTTTTTTATATACAGCTCATAATATGCAGGTGCCAGGTGGTCTGCTAGTCTTCAATTTTATCTTTTTCTACAACAAAGAAAGTGGGAAACATGGGGGGTGGGGGGGAGGGCGTATCAATGAGGCGGGCCGCGGCGGGCATCGGATCGGCAGAGATAAGGTGTGGATGGAGGAAACTAAAAAATGGCGGAAAATTTGGAAGCACTGAACGTTACATCTATAGAACGAAGACACTTCCTTTTTTCCGGACCCGTGTCCGAATTATAACATTTTGGACTCGATTCCGAATATGAAATTTTTTGGTTCGGACTTGAGTCTGAATATGAAAAAATGTTATTCGGACTCGAGTCCGAAATAATGACGGCCCAGAAAATTTTCCTGCCAAAGATAAAGAATGAGAGTGTAAATTTTGTTCCCAAAACAGCAGCCTAATTACTCTTCAGCTGCAGGTGAAATAGATTTAGATCTAACTTTTACTCTAAATACCATTCATTCATGAAAGTTTCTCTTACCTCAAGTTGCACTCCGAAAAGGATGCCTTTCGAGTCTGGAAATTCAGATCCTTTGTATCTCAAGATCCCTTTCAATTCCTCTTGTACTCCTTTTAATTTGACAAAAACCCAGTCACCAACTCTAAGTCTTTGGCCATCTTGAATCCATTCTGTATCCCTAAAAACTTCAAGTCTTTCATGACATGTTGGTATGGGTCGAAGAAGGTCTACAACGGCACTCGAAATATCTTCAACCTCTCCAGGGTAGCAATTAACTTGAATACTTTTATCAGTATCAAACGTTTCCAATAATAAATCTACCATCCCTTTCTCCACAGCACGATTTATAAGTATTAACAATGTTCCAGGCAAAACTTCAATTTTGTCCTTCGAGGACGGTCTGTGTAAGTCTTTCTTCCTCCCATACTTCGTCTCCAAGAGGATGAAACAACAATCGTGGCCGACTTCTGACATTTTCCTTCACCTCCTAAACTAAATATTCGAATATTATACCATCATAAAATTTATATTTATCGTCACAGATACCACAAGTATCGTTTATAAAGAATACAGGAAGATTAATCCACAGGTAAGACCCAGAAAAACATTTTAGTCCGTGAGGTGTGGATCAAGATCTTGAATGATTTATCATACAACAAGTAATTTTGGCGAAACGTAAAAGCCCAGAAAGCTATTTAAAGTAACACAATTATTGTCAATTATCTCCCCTCCTCTGAACGGCAGTTATAGCCTTTTTTCATAAAAAAGAGCTCTTTAAAATGTTTAATCGGAAAATATCAAAGAAGTAATTGTTACCTATTCTATTTTATATTTTGTGTTGAGACCAACGAAAAATAACTCTTCTTTTCTAACAAAAATAATTATCCTATTCCCCTGAGAAGGCCTCCCTCGAGAAAAAAATTAAGTAGGAGTAGAATCATGTATTGTCTACAGAGCCAAGACCTGGGCATTTTATTATAATTCAAATTCAAAAGCCTGCCATCCCAATGACATGACAGGCGTTGGATCGCTTCGTGTAATTTGTAAAAATTTGAAATAAAAATGAATCATTGTAAACAAATTAGATAGAATATACTCAAAGAAAGGTCCTTGAATATGTAAGAAAGGTCCTTGAATATGTAACAGAAAGAACAAAATAATTAATTAGTGTCGGTGTCATTGAGGTTTACGAGACATTCAGCTTAGTTCTGTGAAATTGCATTCAACACTACCGGTAGGCTACCCTAAACTATTGAACTGCAATGAGTCGAGCAGAGAATTAACCCACCAAGCCTTTCCACTCCGCACCTTTTTAGATCTAATAAAATATTATAGGCCAATCCCTCTAGATTGAGGTTCAACAAAGTGAACGAACTTTTTTGTTTTGTTTTATTAAATATTAATGTATTATTATACTGAAGTGGCTAGCCGTACTTAAGGCCCTATCGACTCAAACCTGTTAAGTACACAGGTCTCATTAGATCTAGATCTAGTAATTATTCAGGTTCAAATACATGCAAGTCAGTAAGGCACCTTTTGGTTTTGTCTGAAATACAAATACTTTAGGCATTGTAAACTAAAAATTTCATTTACAATTCAGCCATCAATATTAAGTACAGCTAGCCTGGCTGTCTACCCGTACTTAAGTACGGCTAGCCAAGAAGTTTAGCCGGCAAGACTGGCAGTCTAGCTGTATTTATTATCTCATTAAGCCCTATTAACATTAGAAAACAGGAGGTTTAAAATACATGCACTGTCATTAAGGCTCCAGGTTTCGTCTCAAATACAAATACTTTAGGTACTGCAAACTAAAAATTTATATTTACAATTCAGTAGGCCTATTTTTTTCTTTTTATGGTCAGTCTAGCCATCATATTAAGAACTAGTACGGTTAGTCCAGCTGTCTAGCCGTACTTAAGTACGTTCAGCCAACCAGTCTAGCCTGCCAGTCTAGCCGTCATTATGTACGGCTAGCCTCTTCCTAATATATATTATTATTTTCATTCTTATCGTCAGAAACAACGAGTGTATAATTTGCCCCTCAGACTATGTATCGAGAAAGGAGCATCAATATATTCGCCTTATTTCTACGAACCCCACCTAAGAATTGTTTTATTTTTTAAAGTTTTTAGTAGAGGTTTTACGGCGCACGCAACTGCATAAAGTCATATCACCCCAACAAACAAAAATGTAAAAAATTACGAAGTGCCTATTTAAAAAATAAAACGCCTCACCGCTAATTAAAACGCCGAAGCCTAGATCAGGGTGTGATTTCCGGTCAGTGGTCAGCCGTCCAGGCTGAAAGGGATACGAGGGGGAAATAAAGAAGAGAGAGAGAGAGAGAGAAAGAGAGAGAGAGAGAGAGAGAGAGAGAGAGAGAGAGAGAGGAGTGTGCGTATGTGTGTGTGTGTGTGTGTGTGTGTGTGTGTGTGTGTGTGTGTGTGTGTGTGTGTGTGTGTGAGTGTGTGTGTGTGTGTGTGTGTGTGTGTGTCTGTGTGTGTGACCCTCTCGCTCTCTCTCTCTCTCTCTCTCTCTCTCTCTCTCTCTCTCTCTCTCTCCTTTTCCCTCTCTGTCTCTCCCCCCCCTCTCTCTCTCTCTCTCTCTCTCTCTCTCTCTCTCTCTCTCTCTCTCTCTCTCTCTCTCTCTCTCTCTCTCTCTCTCTCTCTCTCTGTGTTCCTTTTTCTGATGAGTCCCCTCATCGACCAAATAACGCTAATCATTTCCTATCCATGGGCAACTGAAACTGGAATGAAAATATAATGTCACACGACGTTGCATTTCACCGCCCGCCCCGCTCTGCTTGCATGCAGTGTGGCCACTCAATGTTAAAGCCTCAAACAGCTCCGCTCTGCTCTGCCCGCTCTGCTTGCAGTGTGGCCTGAACCTAAGAAGCGTCAGGGTCACCAATGTACTTTATGTAGAGCGAAGGAAATAACACCAATACAACTTTCTACATCGTAAGACAAAATTGAAATGCTGAATAAAATGAGACAAAACAACACACTTTAGTACAACATTGAGCGATGACTCTTTCCCCTGCGATATCGACTTTGACGTTAGCACGATGTCATTGGATTGTGTGTGTGTGTGTGTGTGTGTGTGTGTGTGTGTGTGTGTGTGTGTGTGTGTATGTGTGTGTGAGTGTGCTCAAATTAAGCCTGTGTGTATGATGTCGCTACAACCCTTTCGACGATTCTGAAGTTATCCTCTTCCTCATCACATCAACCCTGACAGTGTCAACTAGACAGTTGACGTGAGCTTTTTTTTTAAACTCTCCTATGATAGTGACGTGATCACACATGCAGGTGCGGTTGCTAGGTTCCATAAGTTGGCGTGCAGGTGGTTGGGTGCCTTTAGTAGAGAAGACATTACTTTGTCCCGACTCCCTGAAAAATTTTTGCTCCTCTGTCAATTTCCAACATCTTTTCCCCCTGGTTTTGGGGGTCAGTATAGAGAATTTTTCATCGGCGAGAAAAACTTCTGCAGTTAGTGAGGGTAGGTAGGAGACTGTTGTTACTACCCCGCTGCAGAGATGACCGTGCCAGCAACTACTGATACTGAGGGGTCTTTGGCTGAGTCCATAGTGCCACTGTCTGTCACAAGAAGGGCAGTATCACTAAATGGTGCTGAGGGAATGTCGGCTGTGTCACTTGATGATGCTAAGGGGAAATAATACCAACAACTGGAGCCAGAGTAACATCAACTGTGACAACAACATGATCAAATACAACTACATGTCACACTGCAACGTAGAATCAAAAGAACTTGTTGAACCCGAAAGGACAAGAAGCCAGCACCTGGAGCTCTCCAGTATAGTAGGACCTAGTGGTTGAAGTTGGTTGAGTTGGGTCAAATGTTGTCACAGGCGATTTTTTTTTCAGGGCCAATGGAAAACCCGACTTGTCAAAGTCAAAGCATGGCACAGAAGTATCTATTATTCTGGTGTCTCGTGCAAGAAAACATGGTCCACTTTGTCTTCAATGGCACGTCATGGTGTTTCATCAGGCGGCAATGATTTGGGGGAAGACTTCCCGCCTTAAATTGATGATGAGCACATTTGTCAGATTTTGAAAGTGACGACTGGACCAAACGTTGGCCCCAGCTGACGGGGCACATTTTTAGCTAACAATAAAACAATTATGCACGCTTTGCTTCACAACAATTTTTTGAGTGACCAATTGAGTCTTCCCGAATACAGTAATACGGATATTTCAAGACACAAATTTTAACGTGGTCATAGCATTGTTGATGGTCATACAGACCTGTCTTATACCGCATTTACGTTAAAAGCATTTAGGCGTCGGCAAAACGTGTTGTTTTGGTGGTTGCCAGGAAGATCAATTTTGGAAATCTAACATGTTTAGACGCTCACCTGCGATTGGTGTACGCTGGCAGAAAGTCTGTTTTCCATGTCCATGCACAGAGTTAGATCTTCTAAAGTTTAATGGGGCATGACATTTTAGTTTTGATGCTTTCAAATTGTCTTGCTCCTTGCAATGTATTATATTGATTTTGAAGTTAGGGGGAAATGACGCAGTTCAGTTTGACTAGTGAAAACATGTTCTAAGTAACTGTGAACAACCATGTAAGTACCTACTCCGCCCCTTCGCCAAGGGCGACGTTGTAATCTTCCCAACGAACCTTTGATTCAAATCCACTGTCCAAAAAACACAACAACCCAACAAAAACAACAACAACAACAACAACAACAACAACAACAACAACAACAACAACAACAACAACAACAACAACAACAACAAAAAGACCCGAAGCAATGCGGTTGCGCAAAATGGACAGTCGGGCACGCTGGGCAGGCACAAAACTTCTGTGCGCCTCAGTGGC